TTCATGTAAATTCAAGACCAAAAGAAAATATGTGAAAGAAATCATAATGTCATGTTTAAATAAAGACGAGATTAAAAATGCATTCAACAGAGATTAAAGTGAAACACAACTTTTGTTCTTTGCAGGCTTATGAAATAAGCAAAGGTAGAATAGCTATTCTTCAAAAGATACAGTTCTATTTCATATCCCAAAATCATTTTCACCTTCTTTAATCTGCCTGGGAGCCCTTTGCTGAGTCTCTTCTCTCAGAAATTAATCTATTTCAGCTGGGTTTAGTATCAAATGAATACTATCTGGCAATCTTAGGACTTTGGCTAGACTAGAGAAAAAAAAAAAGAAAAAAATCCTGGAAAAATCCCATAATGTACCAAGAAAACCACATAGATGCAGTAACCAATGCTTGGGAAAAATGAGTTTTAATAAATTATTGTTCCTTTTTCATTATTTTCATAATGCCAAATGTTTTTTTATTATTTTCATACCATCAAAAATTAATATTTTATGTTGATGTATCCAACCTGGCTCTGGTTCTTTGGAACAGACTCCAATGAGAATTATGCTTGGAACAAGATCACAAAAGTTAAAAATATATTAAAATGTTTTGGTTTTTTTTTTGCAGACCCCTATGAAGTTGCTTTTAAATAAATAAATATTGTTTTGAATGCCTAGAGCAGGCCAGCTCAACTTGTAGAGGGAAAGGGCCACACTGATATATTAAAAATAATTGCAGGCTGAAAAGTAACACCTGGCACACCAATAGTCTCATGCCTAGTGGAATGGCAAAAGCAATGGAGCTGGTGGCCTCCAGGTGTTGGAGGCACTGGATAGCATTATCTTGTGGGACAACAGCAATGTATGGCAGTAGTGAATTTGAGTTTTTTAAAAATGCTGAGGGGCTGCACAAGGTTATTTGGTGGGCCATATGTTGTTTATGCCTGGGTGGTGGTTAATGTTATTTTAAATTGTGGACCTTTTAGTGTAGTACAAGGTGTTCTCAACATGGGCTTCAGGAATCTCTTGAAGCGATTTCAGGGAGTCCGTGAACTGGGATGGGAAAAATTCACAACTTTATTTATACTCCTCTCTTAGTAAAGTCCAGCTTTTCATTCATGGATATATGTAGGTAAATTAATTTAGGGCCTCCGGACTCTAAAAAATGTTTATTAATTTCCATAAATCTCACATTCTAAAATTAATATTCGCTAAAATGGATAGTCATTATTTAGTGAATTACTAAAGTATATATATATTAGTGTATTATACTTTTTTTTTTTAAAAAAATGATAAACTGCATTTCAGCAGAATTGGTTTCTTTTGTAATTTGTATGTATGTATTTTATTTCATGCATTGAAATATGTTTGGGATTTGTTGGTTTCACCAGACTTCCAAAGGAATCACAAAAAGGTCAAGAACTTCTAGGTTAGAGTCTTTATTTAGTATCATGTTATATTGTGATTACAAATTGTTGCTTTATTATATTCCTGTACTGTTATTAGGTATATAAGCCAGATTGGTCTAGTGGTTAAGACAGTAGGTTAGAAACTGGGACACTGTGAGTTTTAGTCCCACCTTAACCATGAAAGCCAGCTGGGTACCTTGGGCCAGGCATTCTTTCTCTCAGCCCAACTTACCTTACAGAGCTGTTTCTTTGGGGAAAGTAGAAGGAAGAAAGAGTATTAGATCTTTGCTACCTTGAATTTTTTGTTAAAAAAATAAAATGGAAAATAAATAAAAGAAATAATAAGCAAAACTACTATTATTCCTATCCTGAGATTGATAAACATGCCATTGTTTTAAAAATGGCTGTTGTTGCCAGCAAATGAAATCAGTCTGCAGAAGAAATGGAAGATCTCTACATAAATTTTATTTCTTCTCAGAAACATAAAGGGAAAGAGACAGTGCTTTGGAGGTGCATCATTTTTCAAATCTATCCTAGTTAGACTCCATTATGCCTGGAAAAAAGAATGTCTGCCTCCTCCCACAGATTCTACAAATGTTTGATCTCATCAATACTTGAAAAGCTCTACTTTGTAAAATTAGGATCTATCTCTTTCATCTCAGAATAACATGTAACATTCAGATGCAGAGGAACCTAGAGTAATGTGTTGCTGTAAACCTAGATTAAAAGTGCTATAAATCATAGGAGTAGGCATATCTCACTGTCCAAATCATGTGGGAAGGGAAAGCAGTTTATATACTTTTTTTACTGCATTTCCATGAGTATGTTCTCATCTGTGCCATTTTTGTGAACAGCAATTTCTAGACATAATTTTTACAACAGAAAGCAACTCTTCAAAACTGCTGTAATAAACATTGCCCCCTCAAGGGGACCTGGTGGGAGGTATTTTCAAAATAACTTTTGTTGTTCTGGGAGAAAGTAAACAACAGAAAGAACTATCACAGATCTCATTTTACAACAGTAGTAAGTATACTAAGACCACTGAACTATGTATTCATACTAGATCTCTCATAATTGTTACAGCTTCAGTGAGTAGATAATCATGTTCAAATTTGTGTCATGTGTGTAAGATAATATTTAGAATAAGTCCAAATATAGTGGATTGGATCAAGCTGCTGTTCCATGAGCAGAAAAGTGAAATTTAGTGGAGGCTCCAGTTCTTTCAAGTGGATGCTCCAGCAAATAGTTTGGAAGGAAGTGATTTTTGGCAACTCTTCATCCCATCTGCAATTTTAGTATCACTCCCCCAGAAGAGAGTTTTGAGGCAGCCTTACAGGAAGAGAAACCAGAGAACATCACTCAGTTCTAACTCTTGGAGCACCCATTTTGTACAGTTCTGTTTTGTGCAAAATATTACTATCCAGAATAACCCATTAAAAATGTGCTGGTTTTTACCGCAAATCACATTAAAACACATACACACATACCTTTTTTTGTTTTTTCACTCATTAAAAGCACATCACAATATAATATATCCTAAATATTATTGATAAAACATGATAGTACCTACCTAATCTCATATGGTTCAAGCCCAACAAAACACTTGTTAAGCCATACTTAAGCCAAAGTTTGCATACACTGGAACAATCAAGCAGCCATCCTGGACTACCTAACAAAACACATCTACTTCTCCATTTAAAATGTGAAGAGCTGGTGGTACACCTACATGTATTTGAATAAACCTTGATGTGGTTGTGGGGTTTAGGGGTTCTAAGGAAGATGAGAGCAATGCCAGAGGTTGAACCATACTGGACAGGTCTCGTCAGAGAAACCAGATGAAGAGTATCTCTCCCATAAACAAAGTGGTTGTTTATGGGAGAGACACTGGTCATGGTCGTTATTTGAGTCAACAAGGACCATGCTAGGTGTTGGAATTTCTGGACATCTGGTGGGCTACAGGACTCAAGGTTGTTGGCTAAGTAATCAAATGCCAGCAACTGCAGGACTACCATAATAATTTATTAATTTATATGCTGCCTAATTCTCATCTATGAACTTGACTGAAGCTGTTATTCCAAAGTTAATTGAAATCAGTTGCCATCCAGTTTGAAATAATCACAAAGGAACTACGCTACTGGTAGTATATTCATCTCTGTAATATATTCAAATATATACATTATACAAGCTATCCTTTAAATATATAAACACATTTAAACTGTCACTAATAGAGAGGATGCAGCCTGAAAAGAGAGAAAGTATAATATGCATTGGAGGCAAATTGTGTCTTTTTATGTTTGAAGCATAGAAAAGGAGAGAAATCCAAAACTTATTTACCCCATAGCATAATCAGATCCATTTCAGGTCCATTATTACATCAATTTTGTTAACTATTCTCACGTTAAATATCCTAACAACATTTAGCACATTGCTGTTCCTAGCATGCAAATTTGTGAGTAAAGAAGTACTACTGCAATATTTCAAGCAGACCCAAAACTAATCTAGAGCAGAACCTTAAGAAATATACTAAACGAGACAGAGAGATCATGCAGTCTAGTTTTGAATACAGCAATGTGCTTTCTTTCAAAAATATATTTTCCAAAATATGTGAGATTAGGAAATAGCTTCTTGACTTCAGTTAAGATACTACGAACAGATATTGAAGCTTTTCAAGTTTGAGGGTGTTTTTTTTTAAAGTTTTCTTTCCCATCTGAGAGGAAAACCAGTAACAGAAAATGTATAAAAAGTACATTTCAATAGCCCATAAGGGTTGTTACAGGAAACAGGTGTTCAAGTGTGGTAGATTCAGGTCCAAATAAATGTGGAAGAGAATATGGGGTCAGACAGAAGAGTGAAATCAAACGTTAATTTCTCGTTCACATAAAATTGATTTTCTTTCCCCTCTCCAAACTATCATTATAATGGAACCAAACATGTTAACTTTTTCAAATTTTGTTACTCCCATATGGTCATATTTTTTCATAAACTTGGCTATAGGAAAGAGTATATTTTGCCAAACTTGTGATATCCAAAGATTACATTTCAGACCAGGTGGCTTGTTAACAAAATGAACATTTTCTCCCTTTTAATACTAAAAGAAGAGCTGATAGTTATCTAGTTTTTATACATTAGAAAGGCATAAATGTGCAGCTTAAGCAAGATACATTGTCCATCTTGTTACATTTTCACTAAGTCACATAACTATTAATTTGTGCTGCTTTCTTAACCATTACATTTCAATATAACATTATTTTAGAGGCGTTTCCCCTGTAAAATGGGTACTTTAAAAAAAAAGTGGAAAAAAATGATGGAAGCTGTGAAAAGGAAGAATTATTCATATTACTACACTAGAATAAGTTAGAACCTTCTGTTCTCCCTTGCAAATATAAAACCCATTTATAGGAAAGTTTGAAAAATGATCTTTTACTGAGCATTTTATCAACATTTATTCATTGAAACATTAAGATAGTATTGCAGACTTGATAAATCTAAACCTCCATTCTACCTTTACATATATGATTAATGTCATATGAAGTTTTTAAATATAGGTGAAAATTGCAAAATAATTATTTGCCACATGTGAAACTAAATAATAGACAAATATTTAAGAAAATAAGAATATTCACTTTAATTACAATACAGCAGGTCTATCAAACAAAGATAAAAAAATTATCATAACTTAATCATTTTTAGTCTTTTGCAAAATAGGGTATTTCTTTGACTACTACCATCCTTTATAATAATAATTGCTATATACTCAATAGGAAGTTTTGTCAATTCTTAAAAGTTACTTTTGTAACTCTTTATGATTATGCTATGCAGATTAGTATGCAAACAATTTATCCACACTGACTTCTTATCCTAATTATTCAAGTTGTAAAGGAATTACATAAATGTATCTCCTTCAAACAGATTTAGTACATAATATAGTTTTTACATTAACATGTTTTAAGATCCAAACCATCAATCTTCCAGGTGTGTTGGTTTGGATTATAATCCCAAAAACTGATGGCATGAGCTGTAGAAGACCATGTTATCTGAAAATAAGAAAACAAGTTATGAAGGTTCTGAAAGTTTCCTCCTCCCCACACCATTTAGCTTCGAACCTTCTGATATATTCCTTAAGATGCCAATTCATTTGAAAATATGTTGTTTTTAAAAGAACTTTTTAAAGCATTATTTAGTGAAAATAGACTACTGTGGTAATTTACAACTAAAAATAAAACAGTTATCTAAGTGTTAAGATGTAAAAATATAGATACAAGAAGGGGAAAAAAGCAATCAGTACGAACTTCCCATATTTTTCTAGAGTCCTCACTCTCGGTGAGTTTCTGTTCAAAGAATATAAGATATTCTTCTAATTTCAAACTTAATTATGCAAGAAAATTGTTTCTTCTTTTCAGAAAAATATTTTAAAATCCTTATAAATATCTGGAATGGAACATCCTATTTAGGCATAGCTTAAGAAAGTAGTTTTTGGTATCTCTATCTTCTTTGCCAGACTTTAAATGAAAACAGAATTTATCATTCCTCCAAATTGGTAAGCTTCTGAGGAACATCATGTAGTACAATATTTCTTAGTATTATTATAACCGCATGCTGCACAATACATCACTCCTCATATTTTACTTTGAAAATATTGTATGCATGATTATTTTACAATGCCTGCAGATTCCCCTCCCAAACATTTTAAATTTCACAATTAAATTTACACCTTAATATTGGTAATCCTTGTTTAGTGACCACAATTGGGACCAACAACTTGATATTTACATGAAGGAGCCACTAAGTAAAACCCTAACTATACTTATGATCTTCAGCTTTCCCTTGCTTCATAGACTTGCAAAAGCCATAAGTGATAGGATTGGTTGCAAAGTTACTTTTTTACTATAATTGCAAATGGTTACTAAACTATTAGCTGTTAACTGAAGATTACCTATAGTGTAAAAATTACTAAACGCTAAATAACTCCACACATCTTTTCCAAATTAATCCCATGCTATTATTATTTTCAATGTTTAACAATATCTACTTAATATTGCTTTATTCTTCTCATGCTCCTTCAAATTAATCTACAAGTAATCCTCGCTTAAAAACAGTAACTGGCACTGGAATTTCTGTTGCTAATTGATATGGACATAAAGGATGACATCACATGACTTTGCTAGTTAGTGGCAACAGTTCTAGCAGTCCCAGTTATCAGGACTGAGGTCTGAGCAGATCATTAAGCGAGGACCTCATGTAATTGCAATTTCTGACTTCCTGCTGGGAAAGGTGATCATGTAACCTGGGAGTGCTGCAATGGTGACAACTTCAAGGACAAATCATAAGTACCACTCAGCAACATCACAAGTTAGAATAGTTGTAAATAAGTGATTATTAAATGAGGATCATCTGTAGAGTAATAATTTGAAAAATCAATAGTTCAGAATACAATTCTCACGATAGAGCTGTTTGAACACAATTTGTATAAATTTATATTTAAGGATAATAAAATATTTCTCATGATTTGTGAACTAAGTTAAAAGTCAAAGGAGTATTTAGTTGTACAATTTATACTGATACATTAAGTAGGTAATAGGCAAATAGAGATCAAATTAGATAATTGATTTCAGCTAACACTAAGCTAATATTAATTGCTCTTTCAGTTTTTGAAGCACTATAATAAAATGCTAATACTGGTGAAATAATTAAAAGATACTATTTGGCAGTTTTTGAAAAAAAAATCCAGATTGTATTTAATTTCCCAATAGGTGACAGAAATACATGTATGAAATTTAAGTTCCGAAATTTAATAGTTTGCAACCATAAGTAAGTGTATATAATGGTTTACTAAAAAGCAGATTCAAGGTGAACCATAAATATTAACAGCTGATTGTATTATATAGAAGCATTTGTTTTATAAAGTCATAATAGAACAGAATTCAGTCTTTTTAAAATTATTTTCTATTGCAGGTACTTTATAACGTGTAAAATCTATAAACATAACAATTAGAAAAGCTCTAATGAAATGGATTTGAAATCTTCTGTCCCAAATAGTCTGCTTAAGTTTAACTCTCCCTTACAGTTTAATATACAGATAGTTCTTGACTTGGGACCAGAATTTCCATTGCTAAGCAAAGCGGTTGTTAAGTGAATTGTGCCTAATTTTACAACTTGTTTTGCCATGGCTGTTAAGCGAATCACAGCAGTTGGTAAGTGAATCATATGATCATTAAGTAATCCGACTTCCCCACTGACTGCTTGTCAGAGACCATCTGGGAAGGTCACAAACGGCAATCACAACGCTGTGACCCTACAACTCTGAAACTGTCGTAAATGCATGCCAGTGGCCAAATGCCCAAATTCTGATCACATGATGCTGGGATGCTGCAATAGTTGAAAGTGTGAGGACTGGTCATCACTTTTTCTCATGTCATAACTTCAAACACTCACTAAATCAATAGTTGTAAGCAAGAACTATCAGCATCTATTTTCTATTATGATACAATTTTACTTTCTTTTTGTCTATAATTTAAGATTTTTTTCCTATAGCAACATGAAAAAACTAAAAGTAAAGACTTTTACATAAAAAGCATTTAAAAGGGTTTAGCATCAAATCAACATTGGCAGACATAACTCACTGTTGTAGTCTTAAAAGTCTTTACTGAAATATAGAATAATTAACATAAATAAAGGTTGTCTAATCAAAAGGATTAATAGCTGTATTTCTTTCAACATCACTGCTCTTTAACCAAAAATACTGAAACATAAAAGCTTTTCTTGTCCAAACAAAGAAATTGAGGTGTAAAATGTTATTTTTGTCTTCTATTTCTTCAAGTCTTTTATTTGATTGCAAATTGACAGCAGTATGTTCTTAACATTTTCCCATTTTTATTGTACAAACAGAATACTGAAGGCCATTGCAATACAGCATACTGCTACGTAAGGGCTCTTCCGTTCACCTGAAAGAAGAAACAGTACTGAATTACTATTTTTTTTTTAATTTGAATGAAATAAAATACTACTAGGTGAATACAAGTGAATACAATAAAATAATGGCTGGTGGCATATTCAGGTGAAAATATTTTAACAGTTAATCAAAAAATTGCCTGAAATCCAAATTTTCCACACACACATACACACACACAAAAAAAAGAATTCCAAGGTTCTTTTGATAAATTTAAGTAGCACACTGATAATAATTAAAGTATTTTTCTTTATTAAAGAAAGATCTAAATGCCTAATAAAATGGGTTAAGCTTTTCAAATATTTAGCAATATAATTTTATTCTTTTCAACAGGTATTTTTTCCTCAGCAGAAACAATTCACCATTTCTTCCTTTAAAGCAAGATTATCAAAATTAACATTATGAGGCATCATTATTTGATAGATATGTAATTAAACTGCAAATAGCTATATGAATTAACATATGCAATTTCTGTTTAGAATTAATACTGAGCTAGTCCATCTCACAATATTTATGTGTTGAATTTTCTGTTCTTAATTTCTTGAAGGAAGCATCCATCATCCATTAGGATTGCATGTCTGTTAACAATACTTTACAAATAGGGAACAGCTTGTCTGAAAGGTGTGAACATTTTAAAAAAAACTACTTAAATAAAAGTAGCAGAGTTGCATTTTGCATTAATGAAAATTTATATAAAGTGTTAAAATAATCAAAAGGAAAAAAATCCAGTCAAAATACTTAAGTCATCTGGATTTCTAAAACAGACACTTATGTGTAACTTACAGGGTCATACACTACCAATTACTTCTAGAGGCCCTCCTCGGTAATATATGGTTTGTTGATAAGTAACAAGTACTTGTTTTGCAAAACAGCAAGTCCTCTAGGCTACTTTGTACACTGGGATACTGTTGTTTTAGGACACTTTTCCTATAATCTGATCTTCCCCATCTCTGGGTAAGGGCAAAGGTAGAAAGAAATAATCTTTTCCCTCTTCCAAGGAATAGAAATATGTGTGTCTGTGCGTGCACCCATGCCTAAAGATTACTGATGTACAAAAGATTGTAGTACTGAAACTTTCATTTATATAACTATGATTAACTATGATTTTAAGGCAAAATCATCATCAAGCATTCTGTAGAAATTAGTCCAAGATTCAACTATGCTTTGCATTGTTTGATATTTGATGTTTTTAAAATAGAATAGAAAACTGTCTTGTTAATACAGAAATTCAAGATCATGTATGGTTATTCTCTAAATCAAGAAAATCAGACAATGTCAGTGGGTCAAAGTAAAAATTTTGAAAATATACAGATGATGTTATCTTGGCATACAATATCTTGGCAAACCAAGCAACATGTATCCTTGCTGCATTTGACCTTTCTGTAGCTTTCAATATCATCAACCATTTTATCCTTCTTGATTAGCTCAAGGAATTGGTGGTTGGCAGCACTAGTTGTGCTGGTTCACCCTGTTTCTCCAAGTTTGGTTCCAGATGATGGTTAATGGGGAGGGGAGATTCCATCTCTGGCCCCTATATGCTATGATATATGGTAAGATCATTTATCATGAAGTATCATCAATATATTTGGTGCAGTGGTTAAGGCATCAGGCTAGAAACTGGGAGAGTATGAACTCTAGTCCTGCCTTAGGCACAAAGCCAGCTGGGTGATTGGGCTAGTCACTTCCTATCAGCCTTAGAAAGGAGGCAATAGCAAACTACTTTTGAAAAACCTTGCTGAGAAAACTACAGAGACTTGTCCAGGAAGTCTCTGAGAACTGGACAGAATTAAATGGAAGGAAAAAAAATAGATGTATTATCCCAGTGTCAGGCTCCTGCTTGGAGAACAGGTGGTAGTCATGGCTAAGAGGGCTTTTGCACAGTTTTGTGTAGTTCATCGGTTATACCTGTTTCCGAAGCAGGAGGGGAGAGGGGGGAGGCTCTGTTCACAATTACTCACACCCTAGTCACCTCCCCCCCCCATTGGATTACTGTAATGTGCTCTATATGGGGCTGCCCTTGAGGAATATCAATAAACTTCAGCTAATGCAAAATGTAGCCCATAACTTGCATGGGCAGTTATGTCTGCTTCTAGACTAGCATATGTCATGCCTAAATCCAATTTAAGATGTGGTTTTTGATCTTTAAAGCCTTCCATGCTATAGGGCCAGGTTATCTGAGGAACTCTCTCCCCATAATTACCTCTGCTTATGCCATCAGATCTAGCAAGAGAGGGATGCTGTGTGTCCAATCTCTCAGGGAACTACACTAGGTGGGCAAGCATTCTCTGCTGTGGCATCTGTTTATGAAATATTCCCCCCCCCGTCAATCTAGGTCCGTTGTCGTCCCGACTGAAGAAACCAGGAACGCAGGAACGTAGTACAAGTTAGGTTTATTAATGCCTAACAAAGTCAGCACTGGGAGTAGATTGCTCCCAGTGCTTCTTATAATGATACCACGCCCAAAACCACACCCTCCAACCAGAAACCACCACCTGCCCAGCTGCTTGTATAAAATTACATGTTTGACCCAGACCCTCCTTCCAGAAAACTCCGCCCCCTTGTTTCTCTGTCTGTTCGGCCAATGCATGGTTGTCTACTTCTGCCTCGCGTTTCGGCTCCTTTGACTCTAGTAAGTGCCTTTCAGCTCTCTATAGAGAGCACTCTTTGTTGTAAGCCACTCCCTCTGCTGGCCTGGAGAGTGTCGGGAGGGGTGTAGGTGGTCTCATGGTCGGGCTGCTGGTGTTCAATGTTCAGCTGGATGGTGGCCCTTCTGGCCCCAGCCTCTATGGCAGTCAGCAAGAGGGCAGGACGTTGGGGCTTGCTTCGGGCAGCCGCCAGCCTTCCGCTGCTCAGCTGGCTGGTGAGGCGCCCGGCACCAGCCTCCGCAGTCTCTATGGTGGCCGGCTGGGAGGTAGGAGGTCGAGGCTTGTTTCAGGCGGCCATCAGCCTTCCACAGCTCAGCTGGTTGGCGAGGCGCCCAGTACCGGCTTCCGCACTCTCTACGGTGGCCGGCTGGGAGGCAGGAGGTGGGGGCTTGTTTCGGGCAGCCGCCAGCCTTCCACAGCTCAGCTGGCTGGCGAGGCGCCTGGCACCGGCTTCCGCGGCTGCACTGTTGGCTGGCTGGAAGGTAGGTCGTCGGAGCTTGCTTTGGGCGGCCGCCAGCTGATCCGCGCTGCTCAGCTGGCTGGCGGAGCTCCCACCACCAGATGGCAAGCCCCGTAGGGCTTGATACCCTCACACACACACGCCAAAAGTGAGATTAGCTCCACTGCTCCTTTTTTTCTGGTAGTCCCTCAAGACCTGGATTTGTCATCAGGCCTGGGGGTCTCAGGGGACCATTGAGATCATTAGGTGGCTCAGTTGCTGATTGAATCGTGTATGAGTGTGTGTGTGTGTGTGTGAGAGAGAGAGAGAGAGAGAAGAGAGAGAGAGAGAGAGAGAGAGAGAGACGGAGAGAGAGAGAGAGAGAGAGTTTTTTAAAATATGCCTGTTTGATATGTTTATTGTTTTATACTTTTTTGCTGTATGCTGGCTAGAATAATTTCTTATGAGCTTGGTAGCTGTAGAAATTTGATAAATAAATAATTAAATAGTGGGAATTAATACTACCAGCAATTTGCATTTTTTCAACAAATTTACACATGCTTAAATGTTATACTAAATTGTATTGTTCAACAACAGCGTGTGTATGCATGTATATGTATGAATAACTAGAAACTAGGAACTACTTACCAATCCTGGCACACTTCCAGAATATTCCCAATAATCTGAAAACATATTAATTGTAAGAACAATTTTATATTTTCACTGTGATTAGATGCAAATTACAGAGATACAATAGTAATGACTAATATCCCAATACTTATTTTTAAGGAATTGTAAATCTCCTGATATTTTTCATGCTCATAAAATGCTTTTGAATTTTTCTCAATTACAAACATAATCAAGCATGTAGTTTTGAAGTCCTGAGTATACTAGAAATGGTTGCACTTTTAAAAATTCAGATTCATTTTTAAACATTTTACAGATGGGAAAGATTGTTTTCGCAATCTATAAACAAAAATTGGTATAAAAATAAATCGATATGGACTTTTATCAATCAAATCATAGTATTAATCTGCAAATAATATGGCTTTTGATATAGCCTTCACTAGAAATATTCAGCAACAGTACAGAATTCTGCAAGTTATATAAGACACAGAAAGTTATAATAAAAGATTTTCCACAGCTAAACTGCCTTCATTAAATGCAAGAATAAACAATGGGATGAAATGATACTTTAACTTTGAACTGAGAGAGTATCAGTAAAAGAAATCGTATCTAAACAGAGAGAAATTAAACTGTTTGGGGCCAACAGCCATAATTCCACAACTAGAAAATAAAATTAATACGTAAAGAAAATGTTTCTTTACAAATCATAGAAAACACTGAAATGTCAGTATATAGTGAGTGTGCTACATATGCCATAACAACCAACCTTGAAAGGATGGAAGACTGAGTCAACCTTGAGCAGGTGAGACTCGAACTGTAGAACTGCTGGCAGCCGGCAGTCAGCAGAAGTAGCATGCAGTACTCAATTATAACCACTATGCCACCATGGCTCTCGTTATAACACCAAATCATATGATACCACAGAGGAGAATAGCTCATTAAAGCATTATTTATTTTATTATTTATTAAATTTATTTGTCACCTATTTTCATGGGGTTACTCTAGGTGGCTTACAATAATAAAAATAAAATGAAAGGAATGTAAATAGAACAGAAGTAAAATAATAGAATCATGAAATAAACAATGAAAAAGGAACACAACCAGAATACATCAATAAAATTACCAAGAAGATGGATGAGTGGGGAGCAGAGAGCAAGGGTGAGGTGAAATCTGCCATCAATCCAACAACTATCTCCAGTTGGTCTCCAGGCCAACTGTTAGAGCCAGGTCTTCAGGCTCATGTGGAAAGATAGAAGGATAGGGGCAGATCTTATCTTAGAGGGTAAGATGTTCCAAAGGACAGGTGGTGCAGCAGAGAAGGTTCTTATTCTGGATCTTGATAGTCAAGAGTTGTTTGACCAACCGGATCCAAAGTAGGCTCCCTCTGCTGCCATGAGAAGGGCTTGTCCTCGTGGAATGAGGAGGTTCATCAGGTAGCCTTGACCTATGCCATTAAGGGCTTTAAAGGTCATAATTAACGCCCTGAACTGCACTTAGAAGCAGACTGGTAACCAATGAAGTTCTCAGAGCAGAGGTGTCCTATCGGCCATTATAGGGGCCCCAAAGACTGCTCTCGCTGCTGCCCTTTGTACTAGCTGAGGCTTCCAAATGGGCTTCAAGGGTAGTCTCATGTATACTGCATTGTAATAGTCCAGAAGAGAGATGATCAGGGCTTGAGTAACTGAGCACAGGGAGTAATGATCCAGGAAAAGTTGCAACCAATGCACAAATCAGAGTGTGCCAAAACTCTTCCGGTCTCATCAGCCATCAGCTCTGTGAGCAGGAGATGTAAGTCCAGGAGAACACCTAGGTTGCAAACTGGGTCTGAATGGCATAGTGCGACCCTGTCCAGAACTAAGGAAGACAAACACTCAGATCCTGAAGATCCATGCCCCCAAAGCCACTCAGTCTTGCTAAGTCTGTGGTCCCTCATCCAGATCCCTACAACCTCCGAGGATCACTCAGGTCGCATGTATAGAGATGTAGAGCTGAATATCATCAGCATATTGATGATATCTCAACCCATGATGACAGATGATCTCACCCAATGGCTTCATGTAGATGTTAAACAAGAGAGAGTAATGAGCCCTGTGGGATACTGCAAGGAAATGGTCAAGGGTTGGATCTCTATCAACACCAATTGGGATTGACTTTGGAGGAAGAAACTGAACCAGTGTAAAACTGTGCCACCCAGCCCCAATTCATGTAGATGTCTCAAAAGGATACCATGGTCAATGGTATCAAAGGCCACTGAGAAGTCAAGAAGAGCGAGAATGGTTGCACTACCTCATCCTGCTCCCACCAGAGATTGTCCCTGAATGCAATCAAAACTGTCTTTGTCCCATAGCTAGGCCTGAATCATGACTGAAAGGGGTTCAGTAAATCTGTTTCATCCAGGATCCCCTGTAGGTGTTGAGCAACCACCTTTTCCACAACCTTCCCCCAAAAGGGAAGATGGGAGACTGGATGAAAGTTTCCCAGGCAGGTGGGATCAAGTGATTGCTTTGCAAGGAAAACCAGGGCCTCCTTAAAAGATCCAGGAATGTACCCTCATGCACTGAAGAATTTATTATTGCATGAAACCATTAGGTGTTTATTCCAGAGGTTTACAAAAGTTGTAGCCAAATTTTTATTTTTTAATGTTTTAGAGAAAATTATTTAACAGTTGCAGTATACTAAAATATATTTAGATTGTAAAAAAAAGACATCAAATTACATTTTGGCTAATTTTTTATTTGGCTTTTAAAGCCTAATGGCCTGGGATAAAAGAATTTGTTTTGCTTCATATCAGGTTGCTTGGAAATTCAATTTAGCTTCTGTAATCGTTCTTAAAGTCTTTCAGTTTCAAAGAAAAGGCATGGTGTCAAAAATATAGAATGAACCCTGGGAAGGATGTACTACTTTTATTGTCTATTTTAAAATGATATGTAAGAAAGTTTTATTTAGAAAGTGTTTTTAGATTGGGCATTTTAGCTTAATTAGTGTTTTACTGAATATTAAACTGTAAGTTATTTTATATATTTATTATGTGATTTGTACATTGTTAGCTTCAAACTAGGTTTCAGCTATTTACAGTCATAAAAATGCCAAATAAAACCACAAAATTGTAAAATCTCCATAAAATAATAATAAAAAACCAATATAAAACACTGGGGGAATGAAATTAACTTTAAAATTCTTTTCTCTAATGCTCTAAATAGTGAAATCTCATACTTCTTAGAAAGGCAGGCTCCATTTTAAGAAAACGAAAATGTTTCGTGATTATGACTTCTACTGTAATTAAGCACTTTAGGATTAACAATTATTTGTATTAATGAATCCATTTCAAAACAAAATCAATATAGTAAAATTAAAAAGAAGCTTACATGCATATCCTTTCCCCAAATTTCTAGAAATGCACATACCCTGTTTTATTGTTATCCAGTAATCTGGGAGCCAAAGATCTTAGGTATGCACATGTACATATAAGCAGTAAGATTACTGTCAGAAGACTCTGAAAATTGAAGATTGCAGACTGAAAGAAAATGTGATATATTAATCACCATCAGTTTTTAAAATTTCTCTTTATTATATACATTTACTTCTTCCCATAATTACAAAAATAACAAATTTAACAGCCTATTATTATTTGTATTATAATTCTAATATATCCATTCTATCAAGAAACAATGAAATACTAGATAATTTCTTTTTCAAAGCAATTATTGAGAATTTCAGATCATTCATAAATTACTTTGCAAATTAAAGTCTTCAGCTTAGTTTGTATTCTATTTCAATAGTCAAAATGTTTGTCGGGTATCATGTTCTGATATTACAAACTTTGGCTTTTAAGCAAAACTTGGAATATACCATGCTAAAAATCAGGGAACACTGATTTCCACCATAGGCATGAATCTAGCTGGGGTTAGTCACACTCTCCTAACCGAATCCGTTTCACAGGATGTTGTTGTGGGGAAAATAGGAGAAAGAAGTTGTACTGTATTGGATATGTTCACGTCCTTGAGTTATTTGTAAAAATAATAAAGCCAGGATACAAATATTCTAGTATGTCCTCTCAATAAGAGATGACTGCATAAAGAAAAGGGCAGATTTTGCTTTCACCAAAATAGTATCTCAAAGTGCAGTACAGAGTGAATTAAGCTATATATAATTTAGATGTAAACCTGGAGAGTTCAGGATATGTTTTATGTGCAGAAAGGCCCAGCTGTAATCCTTGACATCTAGTTTGGGTTCAGAAAGGCCAGGTTGGTATCTGCCTTAAACCTTGTGGAATTGATGCCAATTAATAACACTGATACTTGGTGGTCTCATTTGGTGTAGCAGCTTCTTCTGCTCTCATTAATGGATTCTATTTTTTTCAATCAATCAACCAACCAATCAGAATAGAACTGGAAGGGATCTTGGAAGTCTTCTAATCCAACCCCCTGCTCAAGCAGGAGACCCTATACCATTTCGGATAGTGAATATGCAATGTGGAAATTGGGATTTCTATCTTATGCCCACAAAAGGCAGGGATTTGAATATGTGACTTCAGACACTAGTTTGAAGTAGGGAAGTTAGAATTCTTAATTCACACTGTATGATTAAACTAAGTGAGGAACTTTCCAGGTTTCTTTAGCTACTCTCATTTGGCAGAAATGAAGTGGGGATAACTGAGCAGTCCTCACTTGAAAACTTGGATTTATTATTACTTATTAAATGCAGGGGTTTTTTTTGTCATAGAACGCCCAGAACAGAGTTCTAGCACCTTTTTTGGATGGAACCTTGTAGGATAGGCAAGGCGGGTTGTATGACGTGTGTGAGTTCCGGCACTTTTTTTTTTTTTAACAAAAAAAAAGCACTGATTAAATGTATATGCTGACTGACTCCCAACAAATCTGAACTGGGAAACAATACAGAGATAATTGAATGTCATACAAAATTATTTAAAAGAAAAAAACAAGAGAATAAAATCAAAAGAAGTAGAGATGGCAGAATAACAAACAAAGCTTCCGTCATCCTCACCAAAGGCCTGGGTGAAGAACCAGATTTTCTGGCAGCTTCAATACATCTTCATTTAAACGAAACACTTCATTTACCATGATGTATAAAATAGCCTTTGTGTAAAAATGAAAAAGGCAATTTTTCTAGATCAGATTAAAATAAGTAGTTCTTATAATCTATGCTGCTAAACCATTCTCAATCCTTCCAAAGACAATTTTTCTTGCTACCTGATATGCTTAGGATTGCATGTATTTTTTCTTCTTTTAGGGACCTTTGTACGCAGTATCTATTATTTCCCATGAAGTTTCTGCCTAGTATACTGCAATTAAATTTGTAATTAAATATAACTGACACAACTGTCCTGTCACCATTCTTTCACTTTCTGCCCCCTATTTTTTTTGCCCCAAGTGTAATAAAAGGAGGCATCATAAAATATATAATACAAGCTGTTTTAAATAGAAATGGAAAGACACCCAACTTATGCAATAGAATTATCCCCATGTAAATATGTTTTACATGTATTACTAAGTTATTGATTCTAACAGTTTATGTACTATTTTGGAGGGCTTCTTAACAAGTACTGCACCACATTTTCTTCTTGTTTTTGCTCACTGTTGTTCTGTGTTGGGATTATGTCATTTTTTAAAATTCACATTAGCCATGTTTTAACTGTTGTCATATTGCACATTCTACAAAGTGCTGAAAATCATCAGATTGCAGCACACACTCTCCGGTCCACAGAAAAACCTTTCTCCGTGGAACTGGTCCCTGGTGCCCAAAAGGTTGGAGACCTGTTTTAGAGAGAACGATCTGCAAACAAGGTACCTAAATATTTTGTCTTGAATCTATAGAACTGGTGTATAAGTGTATATATTCTAATCAATACCTTTGGAACTAGTGGAACAGCTTGCCTTCAGAAATCTTGGGTGCTCCATCACTGAAGGTATTTAAGAAGAGACGGGACAGTCACTCATCTGAGATGGTATAGGTTCTGCTGCTTGGGGAGTGGGCGGGGGGAGATGGACTAGAAGACCTCCAAGATCCCTTCCAGCTCTGTTCTATTCTACATATTCTATGTAGTAAATATTTGTTAGGTCACCAGAGATAATAAAATCAAAATGTGAAATTTTGATTTAACTGCAACAACTGTGCAATTGACCCCAAGTGCTTTTAATACTGATTACAAATGCAATTTTTAAAAGAAAAATAAAACAAAGATATTACACCTCTTTGAATAATATAAAAGCAGCAGGCACAGAAGTAAGATAGGCAGTAAACAAAGGCTTTACTATATACACAGGGGGTGTGTCCACACAACCCATTTATTCACTTTTAACTAAACCGCAGGGTACTGCACACTGAATTGCAAAAGTAAGATTCGCACAAAACTCTGAGCCGCAAACTATCCCGGCTATTTGGCGAACCAAGATTTCGCCACCCGTAGTTTACACAAAGGCGGCGGGGAGGAGTAAAAAGTGATGCTCTTTTTTGAGACACCACCTTGCACGACACCGTCAGCTAGGCCTCTCTCGCAACGCCAAAGGCGACGAAGCTACACAGGGAAAGGGGCCAAGCGACCTTCCACGCGCGTTATCGGGACATTCCTGGGGGCGGCCGCGCTGCCCCACGCGCTCCGCCAAAGGAACCAGAAAACCTGCTTTCCAAACGAGACAGGCCTCTTCCCCGAACGCCGCTCTTACCATAGTTACGCGCCGACACGAGCCACATCACACTTCCGGTAACCAGGGGGCGGGATCTGAAAGAAAGATGAGCCTAAGGCGCCTGCTGATTGGACGGAGGAGAGACGCCGACGAGAAAGTGTCGGTGTTGTGATTGGAAGAAGGGAAAGTGAGAGTCACTCAGCCTGGGATGGGAATGACGGCGGTAGGTTCTCGATAGTAGATTAAAAAAAAAAAAGTAAGAAAAATCAAGGCCGTTTATGTGTTCGCGTGAGTTTGTGTGCTTCCGTGTTGGCATTTACACACACCACACACAGGCGGAGTTTACACACAAAAAACGGAAGTGAAATTTTCAATGCTGTTCAAGGTAGGAAAAGGGAGGGTGGGAGCAGAGAAAGGGCAGCGTGATCGCATTTGTTACAGCGCTCTTATTGTTAACACTGGTTATATTTATTCCCCCCCCCCCTTTATATATAACTCAAGGCGGAAAACATACTTTTCCGATTCATTCTTCCTCTCAGATGTTTCTTGCAGGGAGGAACCGGCACAGTTGTAAGTACACAGACACATAGGGACCCCCGTGGCCAGGCTTATGGCATTTGGTATAAAAGGTGTGCGTATACCAAGATGCCAGTGGTGCTCTCTCCTGGCTCGTCTTTTTTTTTTTATTGCCTGGGTCAGAGCTTCATTAACCGTTTCTTGATATTTTTTTAACTATTAGTTCATTAGGTTCCCATTTCTGCTTCCCCAGGCCAATGTTACTTCTTGTGTCTTCTTCGCATGTGATTGTGAGTTAGCATAGGGTAAGAAAAATCGTTGCACAAAAGTTGGGTTGGTAACTCAAGGACGTTTGAGGTTTCATGCATGGGCTGATGAATAGTATAGTATTTTTATTTTTTCCAGTACCTAACATTTTCTCTTCCTAACCTTGCAAATTGGAAAAAGGAAAGTGAAAACTCCTAAGTGACACATTGGTATTCGTGAGCTGGTTGGCAGAAATACATTTTCTATGTCACAGGAACTCTTGTGCTTTCTATAAAGTTCTGATAGGTGAGCTAGTAACTCTAGTCAGAGCTTGTTTTAGAACAGATTGATGCAAAGGTGATAACTTTTTCTGAATGTATTCTGCTCTGTAGTTTGGTATGTTGATACCTTTTGAAGATACTTTATTGATACTTGATTTGGCCTATATCAGTGATGGCGAACCTTTTAGAGACTGAGTGTCCAAACTGCAACCCAAAACCCACTTATGTATCTGTCGTCGGGTGCCGGGTGGGCATGGCCCATTGGGTAGGTGTGGCCAATTGGGTGGGCATGGCCCATTGGGTGGATGTGGCTGCGGTGGTAATGGCAGACTGGGTGGGACTAAAAGGTTCAATCAATCAATTCCAACTTTGCAAGAGATCTTTTTTTTCCCTGTGAGAAGTTGAAATTGATTGATTGAACCTTTTTTTTTTTTTGCACATGGTGGCGGAGGCCTAAAGCGAAAAGGTTTTATAAAAACCAGCTGAAGGCCCAGGACTGGGGCGATGGTGCGCGTGCCCACAGAGAAGGCTCTGTGGCACACATGCCATAGGTTCGCCACCACGGGCCTATATGGTCAAACAGCTTATCAATCAACCACTTACCAATTGTCAAATTACTTTTATTGTTAGACTTTCAAGTTAATGACTACTTCCATATAGCTTCCTTTGCCATTCAATTGAATTTTTGCTCCATTGGTCATAGCAGTGAAAGTTGATTTTTTTTCCTTTCCGGTATTTCAAAATCAAACTACCCAGAAATAAACATTAGTGAAATAAATCATAAATATGGATATGATGACCAAATCTGGTATTAATATGCATCTTTTAATCCCTTTTTAAAGCTTTTATACTACTTCCTTTAGGCTATCTGCCTTGGCCTAGCCCTAGAATTTTTTTCCTGGTTAGTCATTATAAGTGTATATGCAGAGTTAGAAATTTCGTTCCTATGCATCATTATAAAGTTACTTTTATTGAATCAGATTTTCCATTTTATTGCCTGATGTTCATAGTTGGAGCTTTTTTAATCTTGTGTAAATGTGATGATAACTGCAAACTTGGCCATACAATTTGTTAGCCTTAACTTCAGGTAATTTATAATCTGAAGTACAGGCTAAAAAGGTACTTTGGAGGATGCCCTCCACTTGCTTTTGATAAATGATTATTAAAAACTGGTCATTTAGTCATACTGTTTCCCATTTAAAAACCATATATTTATTTTCTATTATCTTATAGTTACTAATTTATTCAAAAGCCCTTGATGAAAGATTTTGCCAAAATATTTTTAAAAATTTCAAGTAGATAAGATCCCCCATATTGTCCCCATCTAGATATTTTTGAACACTTTCAAATAAGTTAAAACAGTATATGAGATAGAACTTATATCTGTAAAGACTGATGATTCTGCCTCAACAAACATTTTGTTCTTAATAATCTTTTTTTATGTGAAATAAGATAAGGTAATACATTAGAGAGAAAAAATACCCTTTCTGGATCTCTGCTCAACTGATCTTTTCCATTTCTGCAAAGGCCACCAGCAGAACCAGCACCATATCTACATGAGAGATCAGTGGCAATAAAGTGGTGAACATAAATGGAAGATTGAAGTCCGACTTCTTTTTAATATGGGTTCATGCACATTGTATCCATACAGAAAAGGGCAGGGCATTGATTGCCCAGTCGCATCCTCTCTTTTGATGCTGTTGACTTTCCTGTGGAAGTTCTCCAAATATTCATTTGTTATAAAATTAGTTCTGTTTATGTAGATATGAACTGACACAAATACATTGTTTGTTAAGCTGTAGAACTCTTTCCAGCAATCTTTCTCATGTTCCAGCTACACCAGTACAAATGCAGTCTGTTCCAGGGCACAGAATATCTGATCTTTTTGTCTTGTTATGTTTATTAGTCTATTTCAGCTCCTGTAATGCTTTTTTTCTTCAATTATTGCCTTCTAATTGAATATCACTGTTATGTCTCTGTGCAATGATTTATACTTGAGTCATACTGTACTGCTCTTTGACCAGATTCCAAATGATGGTATCCACAGACGAGTACATCCTGTTACAGCCATTACAGCCACTGGTTGGCTTAATCCCTTACTGCATACACTGGTTCAACATCATTCTGCAGACTGTGCCTGCCTTTTTCCAATCTTGTCCAGCACAACATGGCATAACTCTTGCCAGATTCACATTCTTTTCTTCTGTTTCTTCTTTTCTTCATCTTTCAGTCATTTTTTTCTGCAACCAAAGTTCCTCTTCTTCAGCATATCAGTTTCCAAGAACTTACAACAATTCTAAATAAACCAAGAAGCCAATAATAATCTACCTCAGCAATTTCTTTTCTTAACCTAAAATACTTACATTAATCCTGGAAGGAAAAGAAGGGAAGGGAAAAGAAAAAAGGGAGGAAGAAAGGAAGGTGTTATCACTCTAAAGTGCTGATTCCTTTTTTATATCATTTTTGATCCAGATAATTTTAATCATGTTATAAAAAGGTATATTATCTCCAGGAATATCTATATAATATACCAATAGTGTCCTAGTGTCTATGTTCCCTATTGGCTATTTTGGAATAGTAAGAAAAAAGAAAAAGAAAAAAATATTGGGTCTTATTCTACATTTGAAAAAAATCTCTCTCTTTTAGTCTAGCAAACAGCATTCTCTGTCTTATTATTTCTTTCCTATTCAAATGAAAAAAATCTATTTTTATGTTGATTTAACATTTAGACCACACCCAATAATTGTTATTTTTAATATTAATTAGGCTTTCTTTTATGAAAAAAACAGTAAATTGGATTGGTACATTCTGTTTAACAGAAAGTCATTTAAAATGGTCCAGCAATCTCATGTGATCATGAGGAGAAAGAGCAAATTAAATTCATTCATTACACAGTGGAATACAGGTGGCAGGAAATGGATCATAGCTGAGTTTAAGCTTTGATAAGTATTGGCTTTGGCTGTCTTCAATAGATCCATTTTTTTCACAACATAATTTACCAGGAACTGAGGTTTGTATTAATATATTAATATAATTTATTTTTATTATTTTGAGTCTGTCATCTACTTTAAAAGTAAATGTGATTTTCTATTGAAGAAAAAAGAAAACCTGAAATTTAGACTGCTCAGAAGTTTTGACAAACAGATTATAAAAAAAATCATATCCACATGTCTCTTTGTTCCTTTACAGTTTTCATTTAATGCACACTGTACATTCTCATTATAAAAATCGGTTTTTAAAAATACATTTTAATAAGTGCTATGCTGATGTTGAATTGATGATAAATTAATGTAAAATGGGAGAGAAATACAATATAATTCAGGAATGTATATAGTATTAAAGGTCTTTCTGAAGAAGGGACGGAATTCAGCAGCTCCTTAAATATAAAAGGTAGCAAAAATATCATTTTGAAGGATTTCTTGGGCTATTTTTTAGGAGTTCCATCCTTTTAAACTTCAATTCTGATGTATATAAAACATTGTGTGTAGTTAATAAATTGGAATTTAGTATTTATGGTCTACTTGATGAAGTCTGCAGTTGGACTGAATTTAAAATTTATGTAATTAAAATTGCTTTTAATATGACAGACATAGAAAAATAAACACATTTACTGTTTTTATTCCATGTTTTGGACAAGCATATTTACCATTTTATTTCATATTTTGGACAATCATATATTTCTGTCAAATTCTGATGGAAATTACTGATCGTAGTTATTTATCCTTATAAAGGAAGGTAATCATTGCTTTCGTGAAGTTCTGAGCAATGATTCAGACTTATTAAGATTTTCCTCTCACATTAAAACCTATGCAGCAATTGCTGGGAAAGTTACATTTTGTATACTCAGTTTCATTTTGAAGCTTGTATGTTGCCAACACTCAGTATTTGGGAAGACTTTTTATGTTCCTGAGGGAATCTAATGGATTCCATCTGTGATTCTTCTCCCTTTAATTATGGAATAAAAACTTACAGGATGATTCGAAATAAATTGGAAGACTTTGAGCTGTATGTAGGAAATTCTGGCATCATTTTGTGAGAGATTCTAAGATTATTATTGCTGATTTGAGTTTCAAAAGCCTGGAAGAAATGAATAAAAAAATACTAAAGAAGGCAGTGGAGGAGTAATCAGCAGCTAATACTGTTCTCTTACAGTATTCATTCAGGCTGAAGGGCATTAAGTTAAGATCAAAGCCTGGATCAACAGCCAGGAACATGCTGCATGAGAGAAGGGAGATGATGATGATCAGATTTCTATTCTGCCATTTGTGTGGGAGTATGTGTGAACTCAAGGCAATGAATAATACTTCTGTCTCCCATTTTCCATCTTGTGAGATGAATTGGGCTGAGAGAAAGTGACTGTCCCAAAGTTATCCAGCTGCTTTTTCATGCTTAAGTCAAGCTTAGAATTCACAGGTACCTGATTTCTATGCTATTATACCAAACTGATTCTCTTGATTACTACTGTGTGTCTGATTAACTGATGTGTAGGATTCCATCACTCCCTGTTTTGTTGAGAAGTTTAACTTCCACTGTATTAAATGTGGGAAGTGTCCATCAGCAACTTCCTGGTCCAGACTGTAATATTTATGAGGGTTTTAATTTCTGTCTCTGATCCCATTTTTTTAAAAAATGATAGCAGCTGTTTATTCAATATGATTTACTGTATAATAAATTAGAGTAAAAGTGCATTTCCTTTTTTCAGTCTGCGTCCATTATAATAGGCAAGAAAAGAATTCCAATAAGTGCTTTAGACTTTTTTTAATACTATAGTTCATTAAAAAGAAGCCTTTTGATATCTCAAAAAGAGCCTTTTTACACTGAGCAAAATAATTATCACTTTTCATTTGTTCTTATTCATGTCCAATATTTCCCACCCCATTCCACCCTGCAAAATCCCCAACAAGCGAATTATGTTTTTCCAAATGAAATTGTGATGGTGATTATAATAATCAAAATTATAATAATCAGGCTTAAGCAAATTATTATTATAGTCTGAAATATTAGTTAAGAGATAGGGATCAGCAAAAACTAAAGAAATTTCTTTATCCTTATTTATGTTACTGCAGTTTCAGTGAAACCCATTTGCAAGCCAATAGGGTCAAGGCTGATTTGAACAAAATATAGGAATTGTATAAAATGGGAGAAGAGTTAATTTAATTGGAAAATAACATCTCTACTGCAATCCTTTTTCTTTTAAATCAGAAGTCTAAAAAAGTAACCTTGTGTGTGTGGAGATGTGTTCTTTCCCTTTTCATCAAAACTTCCATCCATTTTTTTTTCACTTTGATATTATCTACTAATAGAACTCTCAGAGGTGCTAAAGAAGCATGATATGGAAAATGTATTGCAGAGGTTGGGAATATTCTAGCACAGTGGTTCTCAACCTTTTTAATGCCGCAACCCCAACTGGTCGTAAGTCGAGGACTACCCAACCAGTCGTAAGTTGAGGACTACCCAACCGGTTGTAAGTTGAGGACTACCCAACCGGTTGTAAGTCGAGGACTTTCCCTGCCCGGAGCGCCACGCATGCGTGGTGCTGCCCCCTGCACTGGCTGAGGCGTAGCAGGCAAGGGGCAGCGACAGCGCAGGGCGACCACCGGCTGGGCCCCACGCACGCCAGCAACCCTCCCTGCACCCGTCGGCCTCCCACCCCTGGCCCTCTTTTACTTACATTTTTAGTAGTTGCTCAGTAGGGAGGGGTGGAAGCTTCCAGACAGCTCGCCTTCGCTGCAGACAACTTGCAGCACCGTTTGCAGAATGGGGTTTTTGGCGGGCTCAGCAGGGCAGAGACAGCCTGGACAATTCCTATTGGCTTTTGAAAACCAATAGAATTAGACTCTATTCAAGAGAGTCTATTCTATTGGCTTTCAAAAGCCAATAAAATAAAAGGGAGTAGCACAGCTAAGGAAAAGGGGAAAAAAATGGCAGACTGCGTTGTTTGGCGACCCCCGTGAAATGGCCGTTCAACCCCAAATGGGGTCGCGACCCACAGGTTGAGAACTGCTGTTCTAGCACATATAAAATATTAAATCCGCAAGACAATATATATAACAATGAAAATATAAAAGACCCTTTACTCCTTTCTCCAAAATACACCTGATGACAAGGACAAAGATTCTAGAAAATGGAACATAGAGCGGGCAGGGGAAATGTCTAGATAATATGGATGGGTGGAGTTGCTCCCCAGAAATACTCTACCTAAATTGCCTTTATCATGCTAAGCAACTTTCACAAAAATAGAAAGAAAATTCTCGGGCGATTTAATCGCCTTGGCCTGGAAAGTTGATTGGGAAAGAAAGAAAGAAAGAAAAAAAGAAAGAAAGAAAGAAAGAAAGAAAGAGAAAGAGTTAGACTTAAAAAAACAGAGGATTTGATTTATCAGAGGGGGCACTATCTGTTTAATATACCTGTTTGAATATGATTAAAAGAACAGATGACCCTTAGATATAACTAGATTTTTATAATGGAAGATATGATTTAGAATTAAAATAGCATTTTTTTCTTCTTTTGATACGGGAAATTTGAAAATAAGAGGAGGATTGGTATGAATAATTTTTTTAACTACATAAATGTAATTAATATTGAAAAAATCGTAACTGATAAAGATACTTCAAATATTGATGGGAAATCAAATTTTAATAAGCACGAAAAACAGGATATTGACTTAGGAATTGATATTTTGCTATTTCTATAATAGTAAAATATGATGAAGATCTCTATATCTAATTTTGTATACATCAATAGTACTAAAAATTGTAATTGTTTAATGAGGGGAAAAGGGAAAAAATATGGGGAAGAAAGGAAGATCAAGAAAAAATACTGGATTGTGCAGTATTGAATAGATTTACATTGAAGAAGTTAATGTTAAATATGCGAACCCAGAAAACATGTTGTTTACTAAGCTCTAAAGATTGTAATTTTTAAAAATTAATAAAACCTATAATAATAACAAAACAAAAATATTAAATCTATGCTCTAAATTTAACATACAGATTTTGAGGATTAACAATTAACAAAGTTTGTGTAAGCCCAGTCTTTTTAGGCTATTATTGTTTTCAAGGTTTTTAAGTTCTAAATGAAAGGATATGTAAAATTTTATTTATTTTTTAATCTAAAGAGGTTCTAAAATATTACTGTAAAACAAGTCATGGAATAACTGTTTTAACATACATGCAGATGGAGAAGATGTAATAATCCTTCTGTATAAGTAACCTTTTAAACTGATTAAATAGATGCTTATCATGTCTCACTCATAGATAATGCTTTTTATCATGTTCTGAGGTACCAAGAAACTAGAGGATAAGACAGATAAGTTTATTACACTATACTTTCTGTATTGTATTCCCCAAGAAATAGAATTGATGCTGCATGACTAATTATTCAGGTTATTCTTATAGAACTCACCACTTTCTTCATGGCCTACTACACATGTTAGCACCTGGACAGGATTGGACTATGAATGTAAATGCTAAAGTTGAAATATATTTTTCTTTTAGATCTGCATGTTCCCAAAGCAGAATGGCTGAGGTTTGAGGCACCTGCTGCTAAACCTTTTCCTTAGTCAAAAGACAGTTTTGCAAGTCAGAAATGAAAAGCTGAAGTTGAAATATCAATGACACTTTGTAGTGTAGTGAAGGAAGTCAAGAGTTGGCTTCTGTATTGTGCTTGAGAGTTACCCAAAGCAGTATATGAAATGATTTGTCAGCTAATTAAAAAAAACTGTCTTGTTTATTCATCAGAACTGTGGACAATCATTGTTTGTGGAGCAGACTCAAACTAATTACATGCCAGCCAACAGCTGATTCTCCCTCAGAAGGAAGCATTGCCTAATAAAGATCATAGATGCCAACCGCTAAATACACAAAGTACTAAAGATGAGCAGCTCAATTGCCAACTGTCTGGTTTTTCTCAATAAAGCTAGTGATGGACAAATTTGGGTAGAACTCTGCTATTTCCACCTGAAAGTCAATCTTTGTTTCTTACTTGTCTTATGGTGAGATATTGATATGAAATATGATTCTTTTGTGCAACTAGGAGAAATCACTAGCCTTTCTATTACCATAATCATTCTGCTTTTTAAAAATGCCTCTAATTAATAAAGGACATTGGCACCAAATGTTTTAATTTTATAGAGATTGCAAATAACATTATCGAAGTGTCATTATTTACTCCTTGAAAGTGGTTTCAATCCATTTGACTATTATTTTGTGGGATACTAGAATGCAGGGTAAACATTCATTCTTATTATCTTCAAAACGTTGATAAATGCTTGGTTTTGTAAGTGTTATCTTAAATAAACAGTAATAGCACTATAAAATGAAAACCCTACCAATAATTCAATTGCCACCATGTCGTATATTCTTAAAACACTCTTTTAAAGCCTGTGAGGAATTCTAAATGTCTTTTTTCAGTGTCAAAAATAAGCAAACTGAATGTAATTTTTATTTAAACACTTTCTGGGGAAAAAAATCACAATCATGCATTTGAATAAACTATAGACTATTTTATGAATAATGGCCTTTTTTAAAAAAAAAATGCACATAGTGTACTTTTTCTGTATTTTTTAAAGAATAATTTAAAAGAGAGATATAGCTCTGAAGGAATTGGTGCTTCTCAGGAACACATATACTTGTATTTCTAGGAAATTCTGCAAATCCATGAATTAATGGCATGTTTGTGATCCTAGGTAGATAGAAGATATTCATAGATCTTTGTTGGATCACTTGTGCTTTTTATTTTATCAGTGCTAGTGTTTCTGATATGTCTTCAGTTACATAGAATGTATTGTGTCATTAGGCTACTTACATACATGGATAAGACTATCCTTGTGACCTTATTAGGCTAGGGGCAACAGCAGGAGCTTGGAGAAAAAACATTGACAGAAGTTAATGAAAGCATGTGTGCCATTTAAAATCTTTGTGTGAGCTTCATTTTCCAGAGTGAACTCATTTTTTTCGGCCATACATCATCTATAAATTTATGGGAAGATCTGATCTTTAAATACTCTTACCACATTGATAAAAAGTTTGTTATGTGCTTGAGGCTGAGGCAAATAGCTAACATCCTAAATGAACTGGAGAGATTAATTATAACAGAATGTATTATTTTATGGTTTTAACTTCTTTTGCTTTTGTTTATTCTTTGTTTTTTACAGATATTTTGAGGCTTTGCTATTTTATTTCAATTATTTCAGTATTTCATAACTACTTCTTCTTCTTCTTCTTCTTCTTCTTCTTCTTCTTCTTCTTCTTCTTCTTCTTCTTATTCTTATTATTATTATTATTATTATTATTATTATTATTATTATTATTATTATTATGTAGAACTAGTTTGGTCCAATGGCTGAAGCACCAGGCTACAAAATAGGAGACCATGAGTTCTAATACAGCCTTAGCCGTGAAAGGCAGCTGGGTGACATTGGGCCAGTCATTCTCTCAGTCCAACTCATCTCACAGAATTGTTGTGGGGAAAATAGGAGGAGGAAGCTGTGTTGGGTATGTTCACCTCCTTGAGTTATTTGTAAAAATAATAAAGATAGGATATAAATAAATAAATTTGCTGTGCCTTTGTACTTTTTATATTGATTTAATACAGTCCTAATTTATAAGTAAAACGTTAAGCTGAACCTTCTCATATTTATTCATGTAATGCGTGAATCTCAGCACTGTGGCTTGTTCAATAAAACACATAAAAATTTGTGGCTAGACACAAACTGTGACCCCCAGACTGCATGGAATGAAACTCTTTTTTTGTTGATGTTCCATAGATTTCCCTGCAATTGCTATGCCAAATTTTAGTGGCATAACAGAGTTTGGAACAGACCTTGGCTGTCTTCTAGTCCAACCCTCTACTCAAGCAGGAAACCCTATACCAGGGGTAGAAAACCTTGGCTCTTTTATGATTCATGGACTTTAACTCCCAGAATTCCTGAGCTAGCCATGCTGAGGGGAAAGGGAGAATTTCCAAGCTGAGCCATTCTGGCTCAGGAATTCTGGGAGTTGAAGTCCACAAGTCATAAAAGAGCCAAGGTTGCCTACCCCTGCCCTATACCATTTTAGACAAATGATTGTCCAATCTCTTAAAAGCCTCCAGTGCTAGAACAACTATAACCTCTGGTATCAAATCATCCCATATTGATTTCCTACTTTCTTAAGGCACAATATATATATATAAATAATAGACTAAATCCAAAACTACAGTATCAGTAAAAAGTTCAAATAAAACTGTATGATGAAAAATAGTAGAAAAATCTGGGCCTATCAACTGCATTGTTTCCCTAATGTACTGGTTATCTTAGACCTACAAATGGTAATAAATGCAGACTCAAAAAATTGACTGCTCTTGGCTTACTATAGCTTCTTAGAGTGAGCTTCTGCGATATAAAAAAAACAGTAGTACAATTACACTAACATGTGTCTTTGTTGCTTCTTACAGCAGAGCTAAACAGTTACCCCACTAATTTTTATTCATTTTGTTTTAAATATTATATGTTAACAAAACACAAGTAGTATTGTTTTAAAACACAAACACATTTTATTATTTGGCCATAGTGTGTTTTAAAATGTTGCTTGGGTATTATTAACACTGATGATTTTAAACCATTAAAACTAACGAAAAAGGGTTTATATCAATATTAACTGCGATTTTCTAATTTTAAAAAAATAAAATTTATGACCACCCATCTTACCATAGGGTAATGGGTCAGCTTACAATTAATCTTAGTTAAAACATAAAATGTTAAATCAAACCTTACAACCAGAGACACATGGGGAGGGTGGGGACGGAGTGGGGGAGAGGTAGGATCTGTTATTCCTCAATCAACCACCTCCATTGCGCTGATCCCCATTGGGGCCCCAAGCCAACTGGCACAGCCATGTCTTTAGGCCCTTATGAAAAGATAGGGTTGGGGCCAACGTCACATCAGGCGGAAAAGATGTTCCAGAAGGCAGGTGCAACAGCAGAAAAGGCCCTCCTCCTAGACCCCGCCAGCTGGAATACTCGGGTTGATGGGACCTGCAGCATGCCTCCTCTGCCAGCACAAGTGGTACTGGCCAATCCCAGTGAGGTGAGACAGTCCCTCAAGTAACCTGGCCCCATGCCATAAACGGCTTTAAAGATGATCATCAACACCTTGAATTGCACCTGGAAACAGACTGGTAACTAGTGCAGCTCATGGAGCAGTGGTATTACAGGGACCATTCTTCGGGTCCCCAAAACTACCTGCGCTACCACATTCTATACCAGCTGTAGCTTCCGAATACTCTTTAAGGGTAGCCCCATGTAGAGCCCATTACAGTAGTCCAGTAATGAACTGACCAGGAACTGAATGACTGAGTGCAGGGAATTCTGGTCCAGGAAAGGCCGCAACTGGTGCATAACATGAAATTATGCAAAGGCTCTCCTAGCTGTGACTGCCACTGTTCCTCAAACAAGAGTTGTGAGTCCATGAGAACCCCCAGGATGCGGTCTGAGTCTGGGCCGTGCCAACCTATACAGAGTCAAAGATGACAAAGTCCCCCCATGTACCCAAAGCCATTTGGTCTTATCAGGATTCAGTCAAAGCTTGTTGTTCCCCATTCAGACCCCCATAGCCTCCGGGCACTGTGCAAGGGCAGCCACAGCATCACTTGGGTCACCAAGAGTAGAAATATAGAGTTGGGTGTCATCAGCATACAGTATACGTCTCAACCTGTGGTGACAGGTAATTTCATCCAGTGGTTTCGTATAGATCGGGGTAGGCAACCTTGGCTCTTTTATGTCTCGTGGACTTCAACTCCTAGAATTCCTGAACCAGCCATGCTGGCTCAGGAATTCTAGGAGTTGAAGTCCACGAGACATAAAAGAGCCAAGGTTGCCTACCCCTGGTATAGATGTTGAAAAGGAGTGGAGAAAGTACCGACCCTGTGGTACACCACAGAATAGCGGCTGAGAGCTGGACTTCTCACTCCTTATCAACATCGATTGGGACCTGCCACAGAGAAAAGAACTGAACCAGTGCAGAACTGTGCCACCCACCCCCATCCCCTATTAAGGTTAATAAGGATAAGTTAATATAGATTTTAACATCTAAAAACTGAATATGGCATTCATAAGCACCTTTAAGATAGATTAAATTATATACTAAAGTTGTCTATTTTATGCTTAATAATACTGAGGTCTCCACAATACTGAATTGTTACTTATTCAGATTTTGCATATAAAAACATTATTTAAGCACCCAAAGCTTAAGTATGTCTTCATAATAACTTTAAAAAAATAAATTTTACTGTTTATAGGAAAATGAAATTACTTCATCTAAATATTTGCATTGATGTGTAGAGATATGGTCAGCAGTGCTTGTGAATTTTGTATTTTGAAATTTGCTTATGTTCACTGAAATAGAAATATGTGTGCTGCTATCCTTGTAACTTTTAACTTCTGTTTTATTAAAAACAGTGGCTAGAAAAATATGGAGAAGAAAGTGAGACAGCTATGTCCTATTTCTGATCCAGACACAACATACTTTCTGCAAATAACCTGGTGCAAAGATCTGGGTATGGGTTTTGATCTTATACTTAGTGACGGCCAATCATCTTGGAATGGAAGAGGTATAATAAATTTACAATAAAGTATAATAGTATGATAAATTACTGTATGACTTATTACCATTGATTTATTAATGGGTTCCCCGCTCCATCTTTTCTACTTATGTTCTATTTACCTAAAATAAGTTGAAGTTTTCCCTGTCCTCACAATTATTTTTTAATTGGGAAAACTGTCTTTTGTTCCTTGAAGAGACTCTAGAGCTGATTCTGAATATGCAGAAATAATGGAAGCAAATTTTCCCTTTTCTGCCTCATTGCAGATACTTATCCTTGCCCCTCCCCCCCCCGGTTGGGAAGAATGAAATCTGACAATCATAGCCAATTCCTTTATTGGGCTCTGAAGGCTGTATGAAATCAGTAAAGATTAAAGTGTATTCTAAAATCTATAGATTGTAGATTACTAATTTAACCTTCAAATTATATTCTTCTGTTGAGTTGTATAAATCTATAATTTCATATTAAATTATAAATATTACAATATATATTATAAAACTTCAGTGGGTGTCTAGTTGAACCATCTTTGAACCAATCAAAGATTGATCCAGAGCAGGGTTTTTTTTCTCATAGAACGCCCAGAACGGAGTTCCGGCACCTTTTTTGGATGGAACCTTGTAGGGTAGGCAAGGCGGGTTGTATGACGTGTGTGAGTTCCAGCACCTTTTTTTTTTTTTTTTAGAAAAAAAGCACTGATCCAGACCAATATTTTGTACCTACCATCTCTTTCAAGGTAATGATAGCAATTCCAAACACAACTTAAGTACTTTGATAGCCTTCTCTTTATGTTATTTTGTGATTGGAGATGCTTTATTCCCTTCATTACTGGTAACTATGGTAGTGTTTCCTCAATAATGATATTTTGAATTTGGTAATCATTTCTACATATAATTATGTATTATGGCACAGGCTACTTCAATTGTCTTGATTTTTAAATGTCTTTTTAAATAGAACCACAATGTTGCGTTCTGTGAAATGTTTGCTCAATTTTAAAAATATGGTATAAGAGGTTCTTTGTTAGGAAGGCCTCTTGCATTTTCAGTATTTTAAAGAAAATCTAAAACATGTAATATTTTGGTTATACTTTTAGAAAATAAATTGTGATTTCAAATAAATTGAAACATGTTTGAAACCTATCTCTTTATATCTCAATAGCTATAATTGCCTTTTTTTCAAATTTACTTTAATTCTTTGAATTACTATCTTTTAGTGTCTGAAGAAGAGATTTCTAGAGAGGCTGCTGACATGGAAATGAAACAAGAAAAGTATGTAGAAGAACTTAAAAAAGTACTGTTGTTTGACCAAGAGTACTCAGATTCATACCGTTTTGATATTTCCAAAAAAGAAATAAATGGAGAATCAATTCATTTTTCATATGAAAAGAATTTGAAAGATGTTACTGTAAGTATTGCTTTGTTAGTTTTATTTTTCCATTTTTATGTCATAAAATCATCATTTGATGCCATAAATCTTCAGGAACAGTGGATACTTAGACCTTTGGCTTAAACTTCAGCAATTATAAATTCTGGTATACTACTTAATTATTAGCATAATATTCTGTTTTTAAAAATCAGTAAGAAATATTGTGCTTATGAGATCTTTTTAAAAATTCTACAGTCAGAATAAACATTAAGTTGATCTCAGACTAACCAGCAGAATTTAACAAATTAAATGGTGTGCTCTAGTTTCTTTTAACTAAACAATGCAATTTTGGGGACCTAGGAAGCCTGCCTTTTGAGCCTGTTCTTTGGAACAGAATTAGTCCAGGCATCTGTAAAATTCTTATATTGGTCATTTTCAAAAAGTCAGAGAAAACCTGGCTGTTGGGGTTTTGGGGTTGGGTTAAGGGTGTGCTAAGCCCTTATAGGATATATACTTGATTATATTTTCTTCCTGACTCACATGCTCTTTATTTTTTTAATTGTTTTTAACAATGCAAGCTGCACAGAGTCTTATGGAATTGAGCAGCCTCTAAATAGCACAAACAAATAAAATAAAGGAATTTAGGCCAGGAAAATGGTGCATACGGTATATTGTTGTATATGATAGATATGGCTGTACAAATCTAGCTTTGAATACTTACAATTATATTAAAAAATGAATGTTACCAATTCATGGGCAGTAATAGAATCACCGTGAGCTAGATTTAGATACTGCATGACTCCAGTTGTGTTCCTGCAACCATTCTAGTCTGTTTCTCTTGTTATCTTTCTGCTGATATTTTTAAGTTACTATATGAGATGCCATGAAAATGTATTTGATAGTGCAATCAGAAAATAAATGTAAATTCAAAGATCTACTGAAAGAAAATTGAAATTGCTGTACATAATTATACTTTCATTGAAGACAATGGAATATTTGACGGGCTGCCACAGGAGAGAAGTGGGTCGATCTATTCTCCAAAGGGCCGGACAAGAAATAATGGTTGGAAACGTATCAAAGAGAACTCCAATCTAGAACTAAGCAGAAATTTTCTGACAGTGAGAACAATTAATCAGTGGAACAGATATCTCCAGAAGTTGTGAGTGCTCTATCACTGGAAGTTTTTAAGAAGAGATTGGACAGCAATTTTTCTGTAATGGTATAGGTTCTCAATAAAGGAAAATATTTGTAGCACAGAGTTGAAATAATAATAATAATAATAATAATAGTAAAGTTGGAAGGGACCTTGGAGGTCATCTAGTCCAACCCCCTGCTCGGGCAGGAAACCCTACACCATTTCGGACAAATGGCTGTCCAGTCTCTTCTTAAAAACTTCCAGTGTTGGAGCATTTACTGCTTCTGGAGGCAAGCTGTTCCACTGATTAATTGTTCTCACTGTCAGGAAGTTTCTCCTTAGTTCTAGGTTGCTTCTCTCCTTGATTAGTTTCCACCCGTTGCTTCTTGTCCTGCCTTCAGGTGCTTTGGAAAATAGCTTAATTCCCTCTTCTTTATGGCAGCCCCGGAGATATTGGAATACTGCTATCATGTCCCCCCTTGTCCTTCTCTTCGTTAAACTAGACATACCCAATTCTAGCAACCGTTCCTTATATGTTTTAGCCTCCAGTCCCCTAATCATCTTTGTTGCTCTTCTCTGTACTCTTTCTAGAGTCTCAACATCTTTTTTACATCGTGGTGACCAAAACTGGATGCAGTATTCCAAGTGTGGCCTTACCAAGGCATTGAAGAGTGGTATTAATACTTCACGTGATCTTGATTCTATCCCTCTGTTAATGCAGCCTAGCACTGTGTTGGCCTTTTTGGCAGCTGCAGCACACTGCTGGCTCATATTTAGGTGATTGTCTACTAGGACTCCGAGGTCCCTCTCACAGTTACTACTATTGAGCATGGTGCCACCTATGCTGTACTTGTGCATTTGGTTTTTCTTGCCTAAATGTAGAACCTTGCTTTTTTCACCATTGAATTTCATTTTGTTAGTTAGTGCCCAGTGTTCAAGTCTGTCCAGATCCTTCTGTATCTGAAGCCTGTCTTCTGGAGTGTTGGCTATTCCTGCCAGCTTGGTGTCATCTGCAAATTTGATGAGTTCCCCATCTATCCCTTCATCCAAATCGTTGATGAAGATGTTGAAGAGTACTGGGCCCAGAACAGAGCCCTGGGGCACCCCACTACACACTTCCCTCCATATAGATGCAGTTCCATTGAGGACCACTCGCTGAGTACGGCCGGTCAGCCAGCTACGGATCCATCTGGTGGTGGTTCTGTCTACCCCACATTTTTCTATCTTGTCAAGTAGTAGGTTGTGATCTACTTTATCAAATGCCTTACTGAAGTCCAAGTAAATTATGTCCACAGCATTCCTCTGATCCACTAATTTTGTCACTTGGTCAAAGAATGCAATAAGATTTGTCTGGCATGATCTATTTTTGACAAACCCATGTTGGCTTTTAGTAATGACTTTGTTTGCCTCTAGGTGTTCGTTGATTCGTTGTTTGATTATCTTTTCCAGGATCTTCCCAGGTATTGAGGTCAGGCTGATAGGTCTGTAATTTCCTGGATCCATTTTTTTTCCTTTTTTGAGGATGGGAACTACATCAGCTCTTTTCCAGTCCTCTGGTAGTTCCCCTGTGTTCCAGGATCTTTGAAAAATATAGTTCAGTGGCTCCGATATCACATCTGCCAGTTCCTTGAGAACTCTGGGGTGTAATCCATCTGGTCCTGGCGATTTGAACTCATCTAGGCTGGACAGGTGCTCCCTAACCATTTTCTTGCCTATCTTAACTTGTGTTTCTGTTTTGTTTTTTATGGCACTATTTTTGATAGGTTGGTCTGTTTTTTCCCTTTGTGTAAAGACAGATGCAAAAAATGAGTTAAATAGTTCTGCTTTCTCCCTGTTGCTTGTCACCTTCTTGCCACTTCCACCCACTAATGGACCAATCATTTCCTTCACTTTTTTCTTGTTTTTTACATGTTGAAAGAAGCTTTTTTTGTTATTTTTGACTTTGGTCGCAAGCCTTAGTTCATTTTGAGCCTTGGCTTTCTTCACTTCATCTTTGCAGGCTCGGGCTATTTGCTGATATTCTGACTTAGTTATGTTCCCCTCTTTCCACTTTCTGTACTTGTCCTTTTTATCTTTCAATTTGTCAGAGAGTTCTTTATGCAGCCATGCTGGTTTCTTTTGAGAGCTGTTATTTTTCCTCTTTGTTGGTATTGTGCTAGACTGTGCTTTTATTATCTCATTTTTCAAAATTTCCCAAGCTTCTTGAGTTGTTTTCCCCTTGAGGATTCTCATCCATGGAATCCTTCCCAAGCCCTCTCTAAGTTTATTGAAATTAGCTCTCTTGAAGTCCAAGACTCTAGTTTGACTGTGTTCTATTGGTTGTGCTTCTATAATGTTGAATTCTAATATTGCATGATCACTTCCTCCCAGGGTTCCTATGGCTTCAACACCGTCTATCATTTCATCTCTGTTAGTGAGAATTAGATCCAAAATGGCTAATCCCCTAGTTCCCTTCTTTACTTTTTGGGAGACAAAGTTGTCTGCTAGGTTTGCCAGGAACCTAGGTTTGCCAGGAAATGAGGTGTCCTTGGTGTTATCTGAGTTTAGTTGTTTTCTTGCAGATGTTTCAGTACCCAAATTAGGTATAGGATCTCCTGCCTAAGCAGGGGTATTGGACTAGAAAATTTCCAAGGTCCTTTCCAACTCTGTTATACTGTTATTGAGTTTATAACAATAAAATGCTGCAGTATATCTATACAATAATTCCATACTAAATTAATTTTCTGCTCACATTACTTGGGTTTGAATCTATATAACGAGGGAACTGAACTGATATATAATATCACATTTATTAATATGTTTGCTTGGATCTTGTTAAACTTGCAAATAAAAGAACATGGGGTATCTGTAGATGAAAAATAATAAGGATGAATGGATTTAATCATTAGCAGATTGTTTAAAAAACAAGTTGCTTTTTTTCCAAGAGTTTTTAACATTTAACATTTTCTATATAGTTTTTAGACTGATAAGGGCAAACTAAATGACTGAGAATTATTTTAAAATAACAATAGGCCTGGTATGCTGTAGGGCTTGTGTGTCAAGCAGCTGTAGAGGCAATATGGGCCACACACACTGAGAGCTCAGTAAGGGGCCATTCAGGCTTGGCCAGCTAAACTGCTGCCACCTAAACAAACACCATAACAAGAGTCAGAAATTTACTGTTTGATCTAAGTAGGTGACCACTTGGAAGTAAATCTTTCTGAGTACCTCACCTAGGAGCTCTCTGCACATCGCAAATAATGGGACTGTGAGACTTTCTCATTGGAGGTGGCAATTAAATTGATTAAAGAGCTCTTGATAAACAATATTTGGGAACTAGCAAACTTTTCGGTATAAGGTGGCAGATATTGTAGTTTCTTGTGAACATTAGTAAAGTTTTAGCCAAAGAAATTTCTGGCATATGCAAAATTATGGCTCAAAAAGAAATCTGAGTAATTTGTTCCATATTTTCTACCCTAGCATTTTATTTTTCAAAATGATTAAAGCATGAAAGATTTATCGATTCAATATACATTTTGTATTTTTTAAAATATACCTCTAAATGTTACCTAGCACTGATGATGTTACCTAGTTTGGGTAATGAAACGTCTGCAAGAAAATAAGCTTGCTTATTTGTTTCCAAAATGATTTCTCAAGGGCTTAAACTCTGAATATCATTTTCATGCTTTGGAATATATGCTCTATGCTACAGTTTTTGGCTTGTTCAGTTGAATAGAAATAATTTTTTGTGAGGAAAATCTTTAAACCCTAAATTATTGTCTAGACTGGCAACATTATCTGGTGGACTCGGATTTTGTTTTATTTTATTTTTAATATTAACAGAATTTAAGTCAAATTAAATTTAAATCTCGGGTATGTAAACACCTTGCCTACCTTTTGGCCTTAAGCAGGCTGGTGAAAGAGT